GCAGACGAAGCTCGCCGACACTGAGGCCACTCTGCAGACCACGGAGGAGAACCTGCAGGAGACGCAGACCAAGCTCGCCGAGCACCGAGGAGAACCTGCAGGAGACGCAGGCCAAGCTCGCCGACACCGAGGAGAACCTTCAGGAGACGCAGGCGAAGCTCGCCGACACCGAGGATACGCTCGCCGAGACGCAGGCCGCACTGGAAGAAACGGATCGAACACTCTCCGCTGAGATCGCGTCGTTAGAGGGGCAACTGGGTGTGGCCCGGACGCTCGGTCAGCAGCAGGGCGTCTACATTGACAAGCTCATCGAGTACACGCAGGCCACCTACCACACAACGCTGGAGGGGCTGACGGCGGTGCAGACGACGGCGCTGGCGGAGATGCTGGCGCGGTCGGGTCTGATCATCACGGCCGTCACCGATGCGGCGACGGCGGAGGTGGACAAGATGAAGGAGATATGTCACATGATGGACGGCAACTACAAGGAGACGGCCGCGCGGTTCGACATGCTGCGTCGCATTCTCGGCAAGATCGACCAGGACGTGAAGGAGGCGGTGGTGGAGGTGGACAGCAAGGGCAGGCGTCAGGACGAGCCAGCGGTGTCTTCTACGCGTCATCTGGGTGATGTCTCGAACCGTGAGAATAGTCTTGAAGCGAAGGCGCACGCGACCAGTCATTCCTCTTCTATTGGGTTGTAAAGCTGAAAAGGGTTGCTGCCTTCAATCCGTGCGTCTGTGTGTGCTCGCTTCTTTTGTTACTTTTAGTACTTTCCTGTTTTGCGTTTCATTGATGAAGGCTCCATCCCTTCTGTCTTGGGTTTTCACTTGAGCTCTTCATTTTCGCTTGTATCACCGTACTTTTCCTTCTTCTTTATCCCTGTACCCTTCTAGAGCTCTCGAAGACGAAACAAGAGTCTTCAACAGACAGCTCATTGCGAATAAGGAGGACGTGGTCACGTGTGTGCTCTGTGGTCAGTTCGGCAAGAGGAAGAACGCTGCACCCCGCAGCGTGGGCGGTGGGTGTAGAGGATCATTCGTGCTCCGTCGCACCCACGCACACACAGTTGGTGAAAGAGACAAACCCTGCCTTGTGTGTGTTGTTTTCTGACGCGTCTCCTTGTTCAGCACGATCATTGCGGAGTGCCTGGGGCACCCTCTGTAAATCTGAATAGCCGAGGAGTTGGTGGCGTTGGCGCTGACAGTGTTGCGGAGTACTCCACGCTGCGAATGCATAAATGATAAGTTACGACTATTGTTGATGTTATGTCAGTCAGCGCAAAAAGGATCGTTCCGCGTCATTACCGTTGGTCCACAAACACAAAAACTCACTCTTTTCTTTTCTCCCTCTCTCCCCCCTTCTCCCTTTGGTTCCTCGTTGCTCCTCCACTTGTCTCTATTGGGTGTTTACCAACTCACCTGGTAACCATCTCACCCGTGTTGGGGTCCACAACAATCACTCACACGCCACCGATTCGTGTGTGTGTGTGTGTGTGTGCTGCGCTATGTGTGGCTCAACATGCTAAATCACGACGTTCTCTTGTTGATGTTGTCATTGAGTTCATCGACAACGCTTTTTTATTCGGCTGTATCCCGCGGCACCACATCTGCTGGTGTGTGACTTAGACGCTCCTCTCTTCGTGCTTTGTACGACCTTGGCTTTTACAGCTCTTGTTGTTGTCGTTTTCACCGCCCGCCCCCCCCCCCCCTTCCCACGTTTCCATTCCAAACAACGCATTTCAGTAAAGCAACGAGCACTGTCGCAGAGTTGAAGTGTCTCTTTCGATTACGCAATCGCTAGCTTCTTTCTTCTTTCTTTTCTTCTTCTTACAGTCGCGCGGCATATTATTCTTATTGCTTCTTAGATTCACCCACCCTTTCTTTGTCACCGATAACGCGTGTGTTTCCACACATCTTAACTTGCGAAGTTCTCTTGCACTATCCCACTCCGCCAGAAGTCCCGTTGTGCATTTCACCAGGTACCGTTGTTCAAAGCATCCTGGGAAATAACGAAACAACGAGGAGCTGAAAGAGGGTTTCTTCTGTCTTCACCTGCGTGCTCTCCCCTCTTGTCTTCTTCTCTGAGGCAGCGAGCGACGGCATTACAGCGTTGCTTTAGCTACATATACACACTGTGAAGTGATACTTTCTTTTCCGCAAATTTACTCTATTTCCATTTTGTATTGCTTGCTACACTCACCTAGATATCTTGTTCTTTTACATTCCCCCCCCCCCCTTCGCTCTCTTTGTTTTGGTTTGTTGATTCAACGTAGAAGTCTCCTGTTCCGACGACACAGCAGCCTCTGCTTGTTCTCCTATTGTGACGTATTGCTTTTGGCTGTTGACTCCCCCCCTTCTTTCTCGCAACACCTTCGTCGTTGGGGAGTTTCTCAAAGTAGGCTGTCTTCGAATAGCCTCTTCCTCTGTACCGCGAACATCAACACCGTTTATCTTATCTTCGCTAGAGTTTTTTTTACTATTTTCTATTTTGGTTTGTCGCTGCTGTTGTGACCTTAAAGATTGCGTTGGGCGGCCTTTTCTCTTCCCTTCCGCACAGCTGTCGTCAAGTTTATTGTACTGTTTTCCTTACTTTGTTTTCCTTTTCCCTGTACTGTAGAGGCGCACCATCGTTGACGAACTCCACGCGTGTAAAAGCGTTAGTGCCTCTCCCCTCACACACCCGATAGAATCCTCATTATTGTTTTTGTCTGTTGTGTGTCTATAGCCAAGTGAAAATGGAGTTCAAGCGTTCCAACTCCTCTCGCGGTCCCCTCGCCTCCGGCCGTCGCGGTCACGCCGTCGGCGGCGGCGTCACACCGAAGCGTTCTACAACGCCTCTGAAGAAAGCATCTGCACGTGGAACCCCCACTGCACCCGCACCAGCAGCCGCAGTTGCCGCTACGCCACCGCTGCCGCCGCGCCCGTCCGCGCTGCCGTCCGCACGCGAGCCGGCGCTCGAGACACCGAAGACGCCAACACCTGACTCGTTTGAACGCAGTGGCGCCGCGACGGGCAGCAGGGGTGGCTTTAAGCGCTCCAACACGGCGGTAGGACTCCGGCGTGCTGAAGCTGTGAAGCGCAACAACCGCGTCAACGTGTATGTGCGCGTGCGTGCGTTCCGCGACGACGAGAAGAGCGGCGAGCTGAGCCAGCTTGCGGTGAACATGGACAACGACGCGGTGGAGGTGACGGTGCCGAAGAAGGGCCGCTTCACCTTCGGGTTCGACGGGTGCTTCTGGAGCAACGACCGCGCGTGTCCGTCCGGCAAGACGTCGTCGTCGCAGGAGGACGTGTTCGAGGAGGTGGGCCGGCCGCTCGTGGAGAACGCGCTGGCGGGCTACAACGCTGCGGTGATGGCGTACGGGCAGACGGGCAGCGGCAAGACGTACACGGCGTTCGGGCCGCCGGGGTCGATCGGGACGTCGCAGGAGGGCCTCATCCCGCGCGTGTGCAACATGATCTTCGCGCGTGCGGCGAACAGCGCGCAGAAGGGCGTGACGTACACGGTGTCCGCGTCGATGCTGGAGGTGTACCTGGAGGACGTGTTCGACCTGCTGAACCACCGCAAGGAGCTGAGCGTGCGGAACGACTTCACGAGCAACACGTTCAGCGTTGTGGGGCAGAAGACGGTGCTGGTGAAGAGCTACAAGGACGTGCTGGCTGTGCTGAACAAGGCGGAGCCGCTGCGCACCTTCGCCGCGACGAACATCCACGACCACTCGTCGCGCGCGCACACGCTGTTCCTGCTGGAGGTGCAGACGCACTTCGACGCGCCGGACCTTGCGCCGCGCTGTGCGCGGATCCTGCTGGCGGACCTTGCCGGGTGCGAGCGCATCAAGCTCGCGGGGACGGAGGAGGGGCTGGCGTTCGAGCAGGCGCGCAACATCAACCTGTCGCTGCTGGCGCTGGGCTCGTGCATCGAGGCTGTCGCGACGCGCGGGCGCGGCAACGCGCGGCCCGTGCCGGAGTTCCGCAACAGCACGCTGACGAAGCTGCTGAAGGACTACATCGGCGGCAACAGCATCTCGACGATGATGGTGACCATCTCGCCGAGCGAGCGCGACGCGAACCTGTCGGTGCAGACGCTGCGCTTCGCCGACCGCGCGAAGCAGATCACGACGTACGCGAAGGTGAACACGGTGGACCCGGAGCAGGCGAAGCAGGACGGGTCGGACATGAGCGACCGGTGGCGCGACGAGTACCTGCGCAAGAAGGAGGCGCTGTACGCGGAGTACCAGCTGAAGGGAACGATCGAGAAGCTTGTGACACGCATCGCGGACCTGGAGGAGAAGCTGCGCGAGTCGCCGGACGACGAGCTTGCGGTGCACCTGACGACGGAGATTGAGGAGCTGCAGAAGGCGCTGACGGAGGCGGACTACCAGATGGGGCTGCAGCGGCAGATCCTGTACGGCGAGTTCCTGATGCTGGAGGACGAGCTGCGCGAGATGAACACGAAGATGCAGGAGATGAAGGAGGAGCACGAGGAGGCGCTGGAGGGCCTGCTTGGCGAGGAGGCCGGGCGGTACGAGGAGATGAAGCGCGGGTACGAGGTGCGGCTGCGCGCGCTGCAGGACGAGAGCGACGCCGCGCGCACGGCGGCGGACGACGAGATCGCCGCGCTGAAGCGCCTCGTTGCGGAGCTGCGCGAGAAGCTGGCCGCGAAGGAGGCGGAGTGCGCAGCGCTGGAGCGCGAGATGGCGGCGCTGCAGGCGAAGTACGACCGTGACACGGCCGCCGCGGCGCACACGCGTGGCGAGCTCGAGGAACAACTGGAGGCACTGCAGGCGGCGCACGAGCAGCACACGGCGGCTGCGGCGACGGCGGAGGCGGCCGCTGCGTCGACGATCGCTGAGCTGCGCGAGGCGGTGGAGGGGCTGCGCACGCTGCACGCGACGTCGGAGGAGAAGGCGTGTGTGCAGGTAGCGCAGCTGGAGGAGACCTCGACGGAGCTGCAGCGCTGCATCGAGGAGCGCGACAACCAGCTTGCGGCTGTGGAGGCGCAGCTGGGGCACACGGAGGAGCAGGTGTGCACGCTGACGCAGCGCATGGCGGCGGCGACGAGCGCGGCGGAGCAGAAGGAGGCGGAGCTGGTGCGTGAGGTGGAGGCCCTGCAGTCGACGCTGAAGCAGCTGCACGAGGACATGGAGAGCACCGAGGCGGCGCACGCGGATCGCAGCGCGAAGCAGCAGAACGAACACGCCGCAACACAGCAACAATTATGGGAGACCGAGGACGACCTCCGCGATACGCAGGCCAAACTAACGCACAGCGAAGCCACTCTTGCCGAGACACAGG